TTTTTGCATGTAATCAGAAATCAGCCAAACTACCCCCTCATGTGTTTTAAGCATGTTCTTAGGGTTCAAAGAGTTTCATTCTGGCCTAGATTTGGAAAAGAAAAAATAAATAATTTCTTCTCAAAAGTCACAATTATTGATCAAAAGCAGGTATACGAAAGAAACACAAAATTCACATTTGCTTACTTGCTGAAAAAGTATAATCTTAAGAGTTGAGAGACTAGGCCTAAAAGACATTTCTCAGTCATCCCTGGTTTGAAATAATATCACTGCGATGTGGAATTGTCTGAAGAGTTAACATAGCTGTGTAGGTTCACTCCACAATAGCTTTGGAATTTTCCAGGAGAAACATGGCAAATCTTTGTTCAAGTGAACTTTCATGCAATTAATTTGGGCAGACACTAGGTAATTATTGCTAAGCAGCAACAACACTCAAAATAATCTTGAGTTATTTAAATAACCCAAAGAAATCCACTGTACTATTAAGCATGACAACTTCATTCCTTTGGATGGGTCTTTTTGCTGTTGTCGTTCTTTTAATCTCTAAAATAGCTACAAAATAATGAAAAAAAAAATTAAATGCCTTCTGACTTTTTCCCTCAGAAAAACATTGACAATTAAAAAAAAAAAAAAAATCACCAAGAATATGGTAGCCTGTCCACTCCAAGACCTGTGGGAGTGAAAAACTAGGTGGGAGAAACTTGGAGAGAGTTACAATTTCGAATCTTCTTCCCATTTCTCAGAAATAAAAAACTAAAAATAAAAAAAATAAAGAAAGCAGTTAGAAATCCCCCCTAGTCTCTAGGCACATTGCCTAGAGAAATAGGTAATTGGGGCTCTGGAAGGAATGTATTAGACCACAAAAGAAAAAAATAATCATTAATCAAAACAGTCTTTGAGAAATCAGACTATTACTTTAGTGGAGACACCTACCTTATGCGATCTAAACTGCCTATCCCTGGTTTAGGCAGCCAAAGTTCCAAATGCAGGCATCTGAGTACTCATCTCAAGTAAGCCGTGTGAATACCCTATGACTCTGTACCACTGCTGTTGAAATTGAATCGAATTTGGTTGCTTAATTCCTTTAAAATCCTTCAAACATCCAACTTTCAGTTCTCTAATCAGCCACAGACCCATCATAATTCTCCAGATTATATTAGAACATTATTAGGTACATTCTGGCAGTCCTTTCAGAAGACAGATTCTTGATAGCTCTTCCTAAGTTGAAGCACAACTTTGGGGAGCAGAAGGCCTTGCATATAGTATTGGTATGCAGGCAGGCCACTCACAGCTAATAAAGTAGGAAATTCATGTTCTGTAATGCTTTCAGATATTATTTGTCTCCGTAAGTACAAAACCTAAAAAGAAAAAAACTCAAACACCATAATTTTGCTATTTTGTGTCAATCAAGAGAATGAGATAGTCATTAAGGCATCAGCATGGGAGAAGTAGCTGGGTAGGAAGAGGTGACAGAAACATCACCCTGAGAGTATGTTAGTCTCTAAAATTGTTTGCATTTTTCCTTAGTTCCACACTTGCAGTCTTCCTAAAAGAAGACATTTGCAAATAGAAAAAGGCATCTTCACCTGTGCAAACTATATTGTTTCTCAAAAGAAAAAAGTTAGTGTGAAATTACCCAATAGCCTGTATAACCACTTTCCCTCTGTGGTTTGAATGTGGTAACCCCAAAACAATAGATTGTTTACAGATCCTGTCCAAAGTAAAGAAAAATATGATATTTTAACTGTTGGGTTTTTTTTCTCTTAATGATCCTTTTTTTATATATACCACTCAACTTGTAACTTCTGCCAACTTTATCATTTTATCTTCTATTCACAGACAACCACAGTATCTCCCTGACCACTTTGTTACTCTCCTATTATAACAATCATCACACGTTTGTGGGGAACAGACCATGATTGCTAGAAATGGTCCTCCACATACAAGTAATGGAAACGTAAATCCTGCCTGATGCGTAAAAGGCTGCTGTCTCCAATTGCGAAGGTTATGGTTCTGAAGCTGAGATATTCAAGAATTGAGGCATTCTGAGCCAAGGATCCACTGTAGTTTCTTAATCAGGCAGCGTGTGACAACACAACCGATTTTTCTCAGAGTTTGCCCAGAAGAAGATGTCTTCTCCAATCTTAAAGCAAACTGCAAAGATTACTACAAAATGGCAGCAACACAACGAGAAATTTAGTAGGAAAATAATGCCGTTTACATTGTTTCAGACAGACAGATGCAGTGTCTGTTTTAACTTCATGCTCCCATACCATCAAAAAATAACATAAAAACTGGTCAGTGGACCAGTGAATGAAGTACATATTCCTAGTAAAATATCCTAGGATGCCAGAGAATTTTTAAACCAGAGTAGCATACTTTATTTCAATGACACAAAAATGCGGATTCACCTCCTTGATGTCTGCATCATCCCAAGCCCTGTTGATATGAGAATCTTTTCACAACACAGCAAAATCACTTTAGTAGCCAATAAATGATATATGCACAAGTTTATAACATTTGTATAGGTAATATAGTATACACAAGTTGTATAAAATGTAAGTATATATAATTTATATTATCAATGGAATTTGCAAATGGGTGATTTATCAATGCATTTTGCCATTGCCATGGTGTGTCTATATATACACCTACTCAATACTGACTTTATAAATATCTTAAGTGCCATCTTATTAATCAATTAAGATGGCTGATCTATATGCCAATGTGGAATATAGTTTTTAATATGTCAATAAGACTGTGAAATACATTTAGAGAAGCTTATTAATTTCCAAAGGCTTTATCTAGAAAGGGAGTCCAACAGTTTCAAGTTGAGCTATCGAGAAAGAGACAATTCAGAAGATTCAATTATGAATCAAAAAGGAACTTTTCCAAAAATGTATGAATAGAAAAGCTGGTTTTGGTTTTCTTTACACTTCCTTCATTAAAGGCAAAGGTAGTTACAAGCTTTTCTAATGAGCAGTTCTATGTCCAGTTATATGTGTTTAGCAAAGACATCTCTGTAAAGCAAAAACTTTTCATAGTTTGACGAATAAAATCTTCTAATGTAACACTGAAAAACAGTCTCATCCTTCTGAGAAAAAACGGAAAAAACTAATGGGGAATTTATACTTTTTTGCTGCTGACGTCACATATCAAAGTGAAAAAACTCACCATTTAATTTCAGGTCAAGAAAATTGACAGAAATTAGCTGCAGACAAATAGAGGTGAAGATTCTTGTGTCTTTGACCTACATTGCAAACAGACATGTCCAGAGACAAAATGTTATGCCATGTATGGTTATGAATGCAAAACCGTAACTGCTTCTGTTAGTTCGGGATGTGTGACTTCAACAATAGTAGAACTAAGTGATACTGTAACATACATCAATGCCTTTTCAAGACTGAAAATTATCTGACTCTCCAGTTTCAGTTTTTCTGAACATTTGCTGATTTCCAAATAGAAAAGGAGACACTGAAACACCATGAAAAAAAAAGTTTAATTACCTTTTTTTTTACCTTAATTACCTACAATCTGTTATGAATTTATCTGAAATAAAATTGCCCTACAAATCTCAGATGATATTCAGCATAAAGAATCTCAGTCAAATCATGGCTAATTCATCAAATAAAAATTCCGAGGTTTGTGTAGTTCACTTTTTATATATATAATTCACAGTGTTTCACATTTGAAAACTAACTGTGCAATTAAAAAAAAAAAAAAAGAAAAGAAAAGAAAGGAAAGGAAAAGGGAAAGGGAAAGGGAAAGGGAAAGGGAAAGGGAAAGGGAAAGGGAAAGGGAAAGGGAAAGGGAAAGGGAAAGGGAAAGGGAAAGGAAAGGAAAGGAAAGGAAAGGAAAGGAAAGGAAAGGAAAGGAAAGGAAAAGAAAGGAAGAAAGAAAGAAAAAAGAAAAGAAAAAAAGAAAAGAAAAGAAAAGAAAAGAAAAGAAAAGAAAAGAAAAGAAAAGAAAAGAAAAGAAAAGAAAAGAAAAGAAAAGAAAAGAAAAGAAAAGAAAAGAAAAGAAAAGAAAAGAAAAGAAAAGAAAAGAAAAGAAAAGAAAAGAAAAGAAAAGAAAAGAAAAGAAAAGAAAAGAAAAGAAAAGAAAAGAGGGAGGGAGGGAAGGAGGGAAGGAAGGGAGGAAGGAAGGGAGAAAGAGAGAAAGACAGAAAGAAGAAAGGAAGGAAAGAAAGGAAAGGAAGGAAAGGAAGGAAAGGAAGGAAAGGAAGGAAAGGAAGGAAAGAAAGGAAAGGAAGGAAAGGAAAGAAAGGAAGGAAAGGGAAGGAAGGAAAGGGAAGGAAGGAAGGAAGGAAGGAAGGAAGGAAGGAAGGAAGGAAGGAAGGAAGGAAGGAAGGAAGGAAGGAAGGAAGGAAGGAAGGAAGGAAGGAAGGAAGGAAGGAAGGAAGGAAGGAAGGAAGGAAGGAAGGAAGGACGGAAGTAAGGAAGGAAGGAAGGAAGGAAGGAAGGAAGGAAGGAAGGAAGGAAGGAAGGAAGGAAGGAAGGAAGGAAGGAAGGAAGGAAGGAAGGAAGGAAGGAAGGAAGGAAGGAAGGAAGGAAGGAAGGAAGGAAGGAAGGAAGGAAGGAAGGAAGGAAGGAAGGAAGGAAGGAAGGAAGGAAGGAAGGAAGGAAGGAAGGAAGGAAGGAAGGAAGGAAGGAAAGGAACGAAAGGAAAAAAAGGAAGGAAGGAAGGAAGGAAGGAAGGAAGGAAGGAAGGAAGGAAAGAGGTTTTACTGATATAAAAGCCTTTCTTGCCAGGTGTGAAATATGTTGGCACTAGGAAACAAATGTCCTATAATTTATAAATGCCAATTATATATATAAATGCCAACTGCATTTTTTTGAAAAACAAGCAACCTTATGCAACACGTGACAGTAATTTTCCAGCAAGAGTTTGACAGTGCATGGGCCCCGTACTTGAAATTTTTTTCTCTAATCTTTGTTTATAGTAAAAGTAAACAATCCAAACAAAGAGCATTCCACTATGCAAGGATAATAGCTTTGTGATAAGGCAGAGCCTGGCACCAATGACAGAACCAGCAGTCTATTGAGGTAAAAACCAGCACTCTGATAAATAAAACTTTTTTCTGATTTATAGACCGTAAGTGGGCTTTTGACCCTTGACTCATGAAAATCTGCACCATACAAAGGCCTGGGAAGAGAGACATGTAAGAGAAAAAAGAAAAGCCTTGGGAGAATTCCATTTTTTTTTCCAAATTATAGTTGTTAAATTATGTTGATCCCCAGGAAATAACTTTAGAGCTAAATTTTAGATATACTACATTTAGATACATTGCGTTTAAGAACTTTTACTGGGAATGAGTTTTTGTATTAGACACAGAACTTCTAAAAGAAAATTTGAAAAACAAAAGTATTTAAGATCTATTCTTTCTTTGTTTACACACACACAAAAAGGGCTGAAAAATAATGAGTATTTATCATCTGAAATTTAGAGATTATATCAAATATATATATGCCCTTTGGTGTCAGTCATATCTTCCATATACAAGCCCTGAGAGACTGTGGTCCTCAGGCAGACTGGAAAGACTTTCAATTCTTCTATATAGTACATTCAATAGTTAATTCAATTGTTAAAATTTAATAGCAAACAGCTCTGAGAACCTCTGCAACCCTTTTCCAAAGAGTTCTTAAATACAGAAGGCAGTTATATATTTGCATATATGAATAACCACTTAATAAACAATGTTATTTGATTTTCAACTCTCCCCCCCACCCCAGCATTCAATTTATGGATATGCAGGCTCTTGCTCGCGGAATTCAGGTGACTTTTTGACCAATGGACCTGTATAATTAAACATACTTTTCCCACTGCTGTTACAGTTCCAGTCTCTGAAACAGACCTTTGCCAATTCTTTTGTCAGTTTAACTGATCACCTGATTAGGTGACAGAGAGACACCTGTACATTGTAACAAGGGAGAGGTTGCTTATACAGCCATTAATTGGGAATTGTGAGTCATGTTTGAAAGAAAAAAAAATTCACAGAATAATAGTAAATAAATAGTTCCATAGAATCAAAGTTACAGTCCAGAAATGTAACTATGAACTTGCAGGCCATGAAACTTCATCAAGACAATCCCACACACAACTTATGTACTTGAATTACAGCATCCTGGTTCCCAAATACAAATATGTTCATACACATACTAAGTTCAATTTCAATTAAATTCATCTTTAGGTGTACAAAAATTTCAAGGCATCTCAGAAAACTTTCCATGCTATTCAATCTGTGCAAATCAACCATCTTTTCAGTAAGATCAGACACCAAGATCAGAAATGGTCTCAGAAAGTTATAATTTCCACAGGAGATATTGTACAGCTCATCATCATATTGCACATATGCCTAACAGCTGCTTCTGTAATGGCTGTGGCACATTAGAAAGTGTCTTGGGCACAGGGAGATGATTGGCACCTCTTTCTATAGACTTCACAGGATGGTCAAGAATGTAACAGGCTCCACTCTAGTCATCTTTGCTTCCCAGATATGACTTCACAGCAGAGGTGGTGAAAAGAAATCCTGATATGCTTCCTTCTTATTTCCCACAAGCCTGTGGTAGGCTGTCAAGCCCTTTCTATGTTAAGCCATGCCAGCCCAGGAATGGGAAGCTAGTGTGCTGCCCTCACAGGCACTGTATTTTTCAGTGTTGTCTACAGTTCACTAATAGGTCCAGGAGTTTTTCATTCACAGAATTTTAAATACAAATCTTACATTTTAGAACACTATTTTAATGATCATTAATATTAAAACTACTAAAAACTCCTTACCAACATATTGATCAACTCAAATTATTTGATCTACAGAAAGGCCAGATTTTCTGTTATAAAACTTAACAATCTGAAAATGCTACCACCCTTTTAAAGACTATTTTTGTCATCTGAGTATCTGCATAGAGAAACCCTTCACTGAAATTTAAAATATTAATCTTACTTATAAAATTCCTTTTTGGGGGGAGGGAAGATTTCTTTCAGTTTTGTACAGCTTTGTTAAAAGAATGAGAACCAAATACATTCTTTGGAAAGAATGTCCTCTTCAACATATGAAACTTTGATTAGGTACTGCTTGACAGTGAGCAAGGCAAAGTTAGGCAAGATGATTCCTCAGTTCTTCATAATCCAATATGGCATTTAGTAAGGCAATGTAGGCACAGCCTATGAATTCCTTTCAGTCCATGAACCTACATGTTATAGTAAGTTTTCTGCTAAATAATTTAATTTTAGATCCCCATAAGACAGTTTTTTCACTGGCACAGGATGATTAAGAAGATTTATGCCAGCAAACTTAAAACACTGCAACACAAGCTAATGTATCACTAAAAAGTTATCTTTTGTACAATTATAATTCCACTTATTAAGTACAGAACCTACCCCCAAAGTCTCTAGGACACTAAGTTTTGATCTATGAAAAAAAACATAAAACATAATTTCTTGACCCAGTTGATATGCTGCTACCAAAAAAAAAACCAACCCACATTTTTTACAGGGAAACCTCTCTTGGCTTCCAAGCTCTGGTACCTCAAAACTGCTATGTTCTATTACTATTAAACCAAAAAAACCAAAATGCTGCTAAATAGCTGAGGACCACAGACAATTTCAGGTGTACCAATGACAGCACAAGGGAACAAAAATATTTCAGAATCTGATAAATTTGCTTCTATTTTAAATAATTATTTTAATAACATCTCATTTTGCTTTCAGATACCAAAATAAAAGCGTTAGAGTATGCTATAATAGCACAGACTTCCACTGGAACAGAAATAATGCTGTTTACTTCTGCGCTGAGGATGTAACATTCTTCTGCCTTCAAGTAAAAAGTTAACGGAGACCTGAAAAGAACTATAACTTAACAATTTTTTATAGTGTTTGTAATGAAATAGTTCAGCAACAAAGACCAAAACACTGACAAAAAAGTTTAAAAAAAGTCTAAAGAGAAAAAACTAAAAAACAGCCATAGCCACCTGATGTAAAGTAAGTAGAAGGACTATTTGTGCCCTGTACTTTGGAAGAAATGCTCAGGAGCAGTTGATCCTTGTAAAAGTTTGAGTCGTATAAGGCTGCCAAGGTCAGTGAGACCTCTGGTGATCAACTCAGTAAGTACCAGCCACACATGCTAGGCTGTTCTGGAGCAAAAATAAAGGTGTACATGCTACAAATCCTACAATTTATACACAGCAAAGAACAACCAACCTGTTTTGTTACAACATCCCTACCACACTGCTTTCTTACCGCTCACCTAAACTCTCCAACAACTGCCATACTGAATTGTTGTTAGAGACTTACCATGATATTGTGAAAGAAAAAATACAAGGACTGACTCTCAACTGATATAATGAGCAATAGCTATGACCTTGGAAATGTTCCTGAAAACTTCCAGTTGTAAATATCTGTTTCATTTTGCCTTGAACGTGTTTGCAATGAACTTCTTGTCCATGCCAAGTATCAGTTTCAGGCTGATATGTAGTAACAGTAGTTAAAGCAGTAGTAAAAGGTTCAGTATCAGTAGCTAACTTCTTTCTGACTATTGTGTGAAGATCTTACATGACCTTTGCCAGGATGTTCCTTGTGGCAGGTGTGGAAACCAGCTCAAGTATCATCAAGCCAGGACATAAACCTGTTTGCATACTCTTTGCAGCAACATGTTAGTGCTCCAGAGCTACATTCCCTTAAACTTCAATCTGAACTGAAGGTGCACCGGCCTAATATGGCTGGGATTGAAGAGGCCATTCTCTGCAAATGCTCCTTCTAATATCATGGAGGAGTAGCTGATGGCTGCATGCGAAAAAAGAGGTTCCTGGCAAATACAGAAGCCAGGAGCCAAACTGACGTCTTTGTCAGGGAGAAAGAAAGACTACAAAAGGCAACTAATGATGGGGATGGTGAATTCAGCTGGAGATGCAGTGTGAAGTTTGCACAAGGAACAAGAGAGAGGAGAAAATGCCAGAGACGGGACAGGGACAAAGCTCAAATGGAACCAAATTTCATTGTGGCTCTGATGTTTCTTGACACACGAATGGATTGTGAGGATAAGAATTTCCTGTGGCTTACTTTAAAAATGGCAATTTATTGTCATTTAATGTTAATTAAATGTTAATCTTGAACAAGTAAGCACTCAGTAATGATATTTCCCAACTTGTGGAACTTGGTGGGTTGCTCCTGCTGTAGCTGCTTTACTACTTTCTATGTCATCCAGATCCTTGTGACCAAGCGCTTTCTGGGATCAAGGTGAAGCATTTAGAGTGGCATTCGTCTCTCCTAATCCTTACAACATAAAGAACCCGGTGAGTTAGACTCCTGCTCAAGTCAGTACAGAAAGTGTGGCATTTTTAGATCATGACTCAAATGATTATTTTGTGTATCTGCTGTAGAATAAGAGAAGTCTCATCATGAAGATTTCATGGGTCTAAATAATCAGCCCATGTGGAAGGACTATCATGTACATCTCCAGCATCAGTCAAGCTGATGAAGCTCTTCAGGATGGGATGAGAAGGACTGCAAAATGCTCACAATTGACAGACTCTGACCAGACCAAATCTCACACCATGGTCTGCTTCCTGAAGATCTGCAAAAACAACACCAAAAGAAATGGCCAAAATATTTTTCTTTTATAAGATCTTGTATAAGACTCTTTCAAACCTCTTACAAAGTGGAAATAAATCCACCCATTTACTTCGTAAGAAGGTAGAGAAAAAATATCATCAGTGTTTTGGAACTCCTCTGCTGCCTCTTTCAACCAGCACCACAGCACAAACTAAAAGTAAACCAATACTTCTATATCCAGAGTAGGGTAGAGTTTATATCATGAAGCAAAAGAATTCCCAGAACCACTCATTTGAAGGACAAAATAAATACTGAATAGCCACTATAAAACCCCAAACCAAACCCCAACCTGATCTCCAACCCCACCACCATGTCCTCATGGAATCCAGAAACACATCATGCATGCATATGCCCAAAGGCAGGGAATAGAAGATAACCTGAAATCTCAGATACAGAATTGCCTGGCTACAGAATGCTTTAACCTGCAATTTCAATATACTTTAATTGTGCTTTCTATCATACTTTGATACTACACAGGCTGTAGGTGTATATATTTTATATAACTTTCAAGGACGGATTGCAGTTTTTAGACAAAGTCTGAAGAAGAACAAAAAATATCAAGAAATAGCCATTAACAGCCCAAACAAATTTTGTGACCAAGAAGCTTCTAAGTATTGCCTGTAGCTCCTTCTCTGGTGTTATTTATGGCATCTCAAATCAGGCTGTATACTACGGAAGCAAAAGAACTCAATTAGTTTATGAAATATTAACACAAGGGGATACTCATATGGCATGTTTGTAATACTTATAGCACTATTAAACATGCTTTCTTTCAGAAGTCAACATGTGTAGTTTTCCAAATTCTTTGCCTATTCCCTTTGTCATCTTCTACATTCAATTACTTCTGAAAGTAAGATAATTACAATACTTAAAAGCTAGGGATTTAATCAGATTTCCAATGTAAAGTTCCTCATCAGTCTTTTACAAACACGGATGTGTCAACAAAAACACCTGCCTTTTCCCTGCCACCAAGATTCCTTTATATCTTCAAAATTCTACATTATTTCCTTTCCATCTGCTTTTTCCTTCTAAGACAAACTCCTCATCTTTTAGTTTGTTGAATATGGTCACCTTAAACTAAATCATTATGAAATACATTTATCTGAAACTTTTCAGGTAGAGAAGGAAACTTAAAGATATTTTCAAACTCCTGCTTTCTTAGGCCACTTATATTTTCATAGATGTTCCTACTCTGTCAAACCTAGCCATAAGGATAAGTGAGGATAAATGTTATTTGTTAGGTGGGACACTCTTACTAGAAGTGAAATAAAATGTCCTAAATTTGTAGTCATCACTGCTGAGTAATAATTAGTTGTAGTGTGAAACACTTAAGAGCTCAGGTTTTTATCAAATGTAGTTCCAAGCATCCCAACCAACACTCCCCACTAGCGGAAACAGCTAACAGGACCCCAAGATTGCTGTTTCTAGATTGTTGACTAGTGAATTAGAGTAGATAAAAGATACGATATCAAGTAGAAGAACTGTACCCTGTTCACTTTCTTGTTTCAGGGAGGAAGGCAGACCAAGAAAAACATAGCTCTCTTCTCCAATATCCTTCTTCCCAGTGTAGTTTTATAAAAAAGTAAGATGTTGGTAAAGCAGGAAAAATGGACTATAAGGGACTGACACTGAAAAGAGCTGAGTTAGTGACAAGACAAGAGATAAAGAGAGCAAGAAAAGAAAAAAGGCAGACAAGTGTCCTGATAAGTGGTGGTGGGAAATCAGCTGGGAGAGAGTGTTATGGCCCTCAGCAATGAACAAATCTCAAAATCTCAGGATCCGAAGATCTTTCAGAGAATTGGCTTACTCATAAGGTCTAGACTTGGCTAGATTGTGCAAGTCAACCGAAGGTATTTTTTAAATAGAACCTCAAAATTTTGAATCCTGAAAACAAACTCAATTTTATAATCAAGAGAAACAGTATTAATCAAAGCTTAGTTATCCCAAGTCAAGTTTTCAGTGTTCATTTCTGGAGGTGAAAGGATTAAAAAACAAACAAGAAACACCCACTCCCCCCCCCAAAAACAACAACAAGAAACCCCAACACCTTCAATTCCAGACATTGCAGGAAACTTTTCTCCAAAGCAAAGCATCCAGCTTTTTTGAGTGTCACTTACTGGGAGAGACGGAAACACAAAGACATACTTAGAGCCTATCTTCCCCACCATGTGGCCAAATCAGCTTGACTCTCATTTTGCACTGATTTTACATTAATGGGACTTGATTTATTTCAGGAACACCTCTCTTTCCCAGTTGAACAACTACTATTGTTTATTCTGACTCAAAAACAAAACCAACAAATCCTTACACTGAGATGCCTGACTTAACTAGTATTTACAATATATGCCACAAAGTAATCCAGTTCCTCCATACTGATTTGGATCTCCAGTGCTTCAGCACAAGCTCAGGAATGTCAGAAGAAAATGAAATGTAAAATTAGCATATGGCTGGAAACAAGATATTCACTCACTGGAATTTTTTAAAGCCCTTTTTAAGTGAACTTCCTAAGATTTGCTGCAATGACACTCAAAAAGATCCAGCAATTTCAGCACAGTGCACTGTCTTGATTTTCTTTAACAGTGATGTTTGACTAATTTATGTTCTTCTTTTGGGTTTTGCTCTAACTGGCACCTTTATTATCTGACCTTTATTCTGGATGGCCTCTAAGGTGGCATATACAATAGCTGCTTCCACACCATTTCCTCAAATACAAGACAGCTGGCTTCTGTGCTGTTGGATTTTAAACTTTCTCCCTTCTACAGAGTCAAAATTAACAGCAAAAAAACTCTGCAACTCTGCAGCTACTCTGGATCTAATCTAGTTTCCAAATTTTATCCTGGGGAAGCTGGTGCAGCCTATTTTCTGCTCAGGAAAACAATTTAGAGCTGACACAGTCAAAATATTCTCCAAAAGCGGGCAACAAGAAAGGCAGCAAAAACAAGAATGCATGAAATAAGAGAGCTGCTATCAGAAGTTCTAGCTATTTGCAGAATTCTCATGTCAACAGGACCAGTAAACAACTGTTAATATTTCTAGTAGAAGAAGTATCTGTGGGGAATTCAATGTAGTTAGCTGCACAGAGCAGAGAATCAGATCGGAGAGGGAATTGTGTCAGCTCTGGCCAGTCGGCAGTATGTGGCTGTCAGGAGTGCAAAATCGAGCTGCTTCAAAGCTGAGTAGTCTGTGACCTGAATGCTGCACATCCATGCACTCAGTGTGAGAGGATCAATGACAGCATTTGCTGGGCTCTAGTCATCCCCTCTGCTAATGAAAGCAGGTCTGAAAGGCATAATGCAGGGCCTCTAGGCAGCCTAAAGCCTAGCATTAGCAGAGTTTGTTATAAGCTTGGCTGGTGAGTGCACTGAGTACCAAAGACCTCCTCCTCTGTTGCTTTACCCCATCAACTCCCCCCTGGCTGTCTGTTTAGTGTCACTCAGCTGGGATGGATCCCGTTAAAGATCTGACGCTTAGCAAGGACTCGGAGGTGTCTGGAACGCCTGCCTCTAATCATAAACACCACAGCTGGCAATGATGTGGTCAAGAAAAAAAATCACCTTGATCCAGCAGCACACATTCTCTTTGATGTTTCTGCAGTGAGTTCACTGCCCAGAGAAAAAGGTACTGCTTTAAAAAAAAATCAGGCTTGACATTCTCAAATCATAACCATATGACTCTCAATTCCAAGCTTAAAACCCCACAGCCCATTCCTGGGAAAACACAACATTTTGTTCTGAGAAACTCAGGGAAGAAGCATCTGACAATGATAACATGAAACAGGTTTGGAAGATAATGGCAGTTTGAGAAGAAAACACTTCCAAAAAATTCAGACTGCCACTACCAAAAATGGAAGAAGCTTTCTGCCAAAGATTGCAAACTGTGGTGACCTCAAGCAACAGACTGTAGCTGATTCAAGGGAAAAATGAAAACTTTTCAAAGACAACATTGCTTGTGCTCTGCCACTGTTTATAAGTGCCTTATGCCCTCTTGCCTTTCGGGGTGGCCTGGTAAACACAAGAGCTCTTCTGTATTTTCCAGTCCTCTGCTACAAAATTCTGTTAAATATTCAGCTCTCTGAGCATGATTTTTTTTTTTTTTTAACCCAGTGAGGTTTCAAAAAGAGTTGTGAATCCAGGGCAAAAAGCATAGTATTCATTGTGTTCTTTTTTATTATTTTTTTTTAATCTGCCCCTATGTTGCATATATGATTATCAAATATCCAAATATCCTATTTATTTTCACTCTGCTTGGATTACTTCATACAAAAAACCCACCGTTTTTGTTGCATTGATTTCTTTCTAGATATGGAGTGCTACATATACCATTTGCTAAAAATCTGAGAAGACTGTTCCTTGTGATCTGATGCTTTCATGCTTTTGCTTCCTTATGCTATGCCATCGTAAGCTAACATAGACAAAGAACCTGATTTGAACAATCTTACCGAGCTATATAGTCTTGAATTTTGTTTTCATTATACACAGCAAAGAAGCATGACAATTAATGCTTGAGATCTTCCCAAGGCTATATGAAGAAAAGGACATACTAGACACACCGACGCAGAGGCTTATTTTGCTGGGGACAGAAAGAAAAATTTGGAACTAACTTTGAAAACCATCTCTAAAAATGTAACTTCAGAATTTGGCCCTATTTGCACGTTTAAATACCTAGCATTTTTACATTTAAAATGGACAGCTGGCGCAGAAGCAACTGTGAAGAGTCATTTTGGGGTACTGAAGCATATTTTTGCCTTTCTGAATGTTCTTCTAAAATGGTCTTTTTCATGACTTCATGTTACCCACAGGTTTGATCTCTTCCCCAGATAAAAAGACCAGGTTGCATCCCTCAGAATCAGCAGCCATTCCCTAATAACAAAACTAAAGATGACTGCATAATTTCGTTACCTTTGGTATGAAAATTCACTATTTGTTACTGTGGCTTAAAGCTGATCAGAGCCATCTGGACACAACTAAAACAGAGAAGTGACATACTGTATACAAAACACAGAGCTTAAGAGTGAGTGTAAATTGAACTACCAAGTCATGGCTGGAAAATCTGGGAGCTGTATTCCAAACCTATGTGAGATTTCACAGGCTGTTTGTGCTGACAGCCTTCCCTGCAATTCCCCCAAATGTTGCAGATTTAGATAAGATTCAGATTTATGAAGTTTATGTGCTGTTCTACAGTGGTGTGCACTCACGTGCGCATGCGTGTGCGTGTATGTGTACGTGTATGTGTATGTCTATGTGAAGGAGAGAAAACGCTAGCTCAGCTGGATTGTGAAACATCAGCAATATACATACCCCTATATGGCAATTTTTCTCTAATACTGTATGTAAGCAAAATATAATTAAATAATAGCCAAGATCTGCAGCTGTAGTGACACTTAAAATGATGTGAGGAAGTGACACAATTCTCTTTGTCTCCACATGAATGAAAAAATAATAAAAAAAAAAAGATCAGTACCAGAAAACTCAGAAAACTGTTACTAACATCCTGTCACAAACACAGGCTGATTTTACTCTAGAAAAAAATAAAATAAAAAACATTAAAAAAATTATTTCCACAAGCCATGTAGAGAACTAGAGACTTACTTCAATGGCACATTCAAAGCTCATCTGTTTACCTCTGTGTATGCAAGAGTTCAGGAGGTGGGAGTCAAGATACGCATCCCATTCTTCAAGGGAAAATCAGAGCCACCCATCCATTTGCAGCTTCTTTATGAATAATTCTGAACTTACTGGCAAAGTCTATGACCTATGATAGTGCAAGGTCCTACACCTGGGTCGGAGCAATCCCAGGCACAGCTACAGGCTGGGCAGAGAAGAGATTCAGAGCAGCCCTGCAGAGAAGGACTTGGGGGTGCTGGTTGATGAGAAAATGAACATGAGCCGGCTTCAGTGTGCGCTTTCAGCCCAGAAGGCCAACCGTATCCTGGGCTGCACCAAAAGGAGTGTGACCAGCAGGTCGAAGGAGGTGATCCTGCCCCTTTATTCTGCTCTCATGAGACCTCACTTGGAGTATTGTGTGCAGTGCTGGTGTCCTCAACATAAAAAGGACATGGATCTGTTGGAACAAGTCCAGAGGAGGGCCACGAGGATGATCAGGGGACTGGAGCACCTCCCATGTGAAGATAGGTTGAGAAAGTTGGGACTGTTCAGCCTGGAGAAGAGAAGGCTGCGTGGAGACCTCATAGCAGCCTTCCAGTATCTGAAGGGGGGCTATAGGGGTGCTGGGCATGGACTCTTCATTAGGGACTGTAGTGATAGGACAAGGGGTAATGGGTTAAAACTTAAACAGGGGAAGTTTAGATTGGATATAAGGAGGAAATTATTTCCTGTTAGGGTGGTGAGGCACTGGAATAGGTTGCCCAAGGAGGCTGTGAATGCTCCATCCCTGGCAGTGTTCAAGTCCAGGTTGGACGAGGCCTTGGGTGATATGGTTTAGAGCGAGGTGTCCCTGCCCATGGCAGGGGGGTTGGAACTTGATGATCTTAAGGTCCTTTCCAACCCTAACCATTCTATGATTCTATAGTTCTTCCTTTTTCCCTATTCTTACACTACTCTGAAACATCACAATATAAAACCAATAAGTCTAATCATGAATACAGTTTTAACCCAAGGAAAATTTTTTTCTTCCCATATTTTAATGTGACAAAACCAGCATGGGAATGTTACTTATCAGAAATGAGAAGCAGAACAGAATTCTGTAATGGATTTTGTCCAGCTTCATTTTACAGATCAGATTTAAAAGTGTTTTATTGATTACATGTTCTCTCATAATGACTAGAGAAGAGGTAAAAAAAAAAAAAAAAAGAAAAAAAAAAGAAAAGCCAAACACTTTCCTGATCACAAATGGATGTACTTTGAGGAAGTCTACAAAATTAGTCCATTATGGTTTCAGTTCGACCAAGTAAACAGCACTGCCAGGTAAGAGAAGAAAAAGAAAAAAAGGTTTGGTTCTAGAAGGTGCTATTTGTGCTACGTGGGAATGAAATATAACTGA